TCTGCCTGTCTGTCTGACTGACTGCTCATAAAAATATTAAATATAGCACGAGAAAAAAGTAAATTGTTCATTAAATTCAAAGCACGCATTATGTTGGGAAATAGAAAAGAAACGGAGTCAGAGTCTTAGAGTCTGTTCGGCAGCAACTCGACTCGACTCCACTGCAGTTGAGTGTTGAAGAGGTTGCCTTTGATTCATTCATTCATAAGGGCCTGTCGAAACATTTACACACAATCCTCCTCACACACACACACACATCTGCCTTCCTTGCAACATTCCGCTTTTCAGAAACTTGTGCCATTTGCATGCGTTTCAAATACTGCTCTTCAAAATTGCTGCCAGCGATTATGTTGATATGTTTAAGCACTTTGATGCCCATTTGAAACCTACATACATATATTTTTTGATGCACTGAGATGCAAAATGTTATACAAAAGTTGAAGCATTAATAATAATAATTTGCGAAATGTATTTATTCTTAAAAATATAATTCATTTTGCATTTATTTGAGTTTTGCAAATACAGCGTACAAATATTTATTAAAACTTTTAAAATCCATATTTCTTAATGTAATTCTATTTTAAATCCTTCCATAAGCAATGCACATATGCAAAAGGTTTTTTCACTCAAAGCAGTCCAAAAAATCCTTTACTGGAGCCATACAAGCACTACATTCTATTTAAAACTATGTCTCCAAGGTGCACTTTTCATTTAATAGCCAGAAATCAAACGGCGTTTTATTTTTTTGGTAAAATGGACACGAAGAATGAGGGTAATATTTTTGAAACCAAATGAGATTTTTTACTTTTATTAGGCACAAAAGTACTCTGACTGGACTGATCCATAAGAAATATTAACATCATCAGCTATGGCTCTATTTGTGAATTCACGTTTTGGGAGCACTAATTATTGATTTGTCCATCCTTTAAAAATGTTATGTATTTTATTTAAACTGGGAACTCAATGTTTCAGTTACAGAAATTCTATTTCTTACACGAAATATAATAGAATTTTTTTTTTTTTTTAATAAATTTATTAAATTATTTAATAAATTATTAAATTATTGTAAAAAAACGAAGAAAAAAAGTGACAGTGCTGCCAACTTAAAAGTAAACAGATTTGTCCCTAACGAAACACCCATTCGACTTTCGGATCATATTTGTAAACATACATATGTAGCATACTGTCGTAGAATCTACAGTACAAGCCTAACTGGAGCAGCAAAAGGCACAGTCGATGATTATTTTTATAAAATTCAAAAACAAAAAGTTCATTTTTCAAACTCAATAGAGCTGTGCAAAAGTTAAACGTGTTTTATTTATTTGTTTATTAGTTTCTAAGTTTCAACTGGAATATGCATTTGATAGGAATTTGTTCGAGTGTATGTAAATTGGTGAAAATAAGGTTTGTGTGTATGTGTGTTTATTTAAAAACTGTGCAGGCTGGCTTCTATTGATTTTGGTCCAGCGAGCCAAGTTCATTGAACTTGTACCAAAAAATCCACACACACACACACACACACATACACAGACAGACGGACATAAAGTTCAAACATTTTGTCTGGCGAGCCAGCAGGCAGCTACCTACCTGGGACGTGGAAGCTGGACCAAAAGCTTGTGTGCATTTTTTCTTCGCATACCTACATAAATATTTGCTGATGGTTTTTTTTCTGTTTTTCTTCTTCATTTTACATTTTTCATTAATTTTAACAGCGACAGCTTCGAGTTAACACCAATTAGTCGCACCCGTTGCTCGTTTGATTTCGTTCGCAAATAATGCATACCTTTTTATTTTCGACATTTTTGCAATAACTTAATAGTAAATGCTGTTCAATACCTTTTAAGAGTCATTGACATGGACCAAGAAATACCCTTACAGGCATCGAGCAGAAGCAGTGTGGGGGAGAAAGTCTATAATTTCTCTTTCATGCTAATAGGTACTATGGCGTATTAATTTCTGTAAATGCTGTTGTTGTTTGTGGTGGTGCATATATCTTGGTCGGTTTTTTCATGACTGTCAAAAATTGCCTCTGCATTTTTTATTTTATTATATATTTTTTTTTTTTTTTGACATGGGTCACAATTTTGGCGACCAGCCAATTTTTACAAAGTTTTCGAAGAAGAAAAAGGGTGCTTAGAACCGTCTTTCTCCTGATGCTACATTTGTTTTAAATGTTCAGTTTATTGAAGCATAAAAATGGTAATAATAATTATAATTTGTTGAAATCCTTTAGCTGAGGCCGTTGGCTTTGGAGGTATCGAAAGTCCTCTTAAAACTTGAAAGTATTGATACAAAAAAATGATATTAAGTAAAAACTAAATTAATTATTCTTCTAAATGATCGTTACCTATGATCCCATTTATTAACACGTATTTACGGTTCTAAAATTTTATGTAGTAAGTATTATTGCATAGAATTGACAATTTGGAAATAAAAGGAGAGCAATAGTCAGAAGATTTCTGTTTGCTCCTCCCGGAGTTTGGAGGTTGGAAAGAAATACAAGTCCGAAAAATGCATTCTTTGGTTATTTTGGTTGCCGAGCCGTTAAAATGGTCGTATATAGTATTGGTTGAAACATCTGAGACTACCGTCCTGCAGAGATCTATTACGTTATAATATTGGTTTTATTGTTCCACCAATGATAACCTTTGATTATACAATTTTGAAAGCTGCAATTATTGATAGTGAGTTGCCAGTCTTTATAAAGCACAAATCGGCTAAATTATTTAGTAAATTAAATTATAACTTTGTTGCCGATTTATGTAATTACTTGTATTCGTTCCACTCATTCACCCCATTCCCACTCAAAGTTTTATTCGATTCAATATTCATTCATAAAGTATCTGAAAATGTTCTAATATTTATGCTAAATTCCGCTCTCGCCCTCCATCCTTTTCATAGTGTAATATAAACTCGATTAAGGACACGCCTTGCAGTCATGTAGCTTGTTAAGCTCGTTTTTGCGCCATTTTCCAATCCCGGCGGCTTATCGTTAACAGCATATTAAAGGATTTTTGGCATTGCCGCACACTATGACTTTTTTATTGACTTAGTTTGTCGGCATTTTGACGCTGACTGGCTGGCTGGCTGGAATTGCTTGTCTTATCGGCCACGTTGTCGTCTGCTTGGATTTGTTTTTAGCCTTGTTAGGAGACACAACACACAAACACACAGGCACACTCACTGTCTGGCAGAGACAGGGAGATAAACATTTCCGCTTTGCTGCTGCTACTGCTGGTGCCTACGGTCACGTGCGCTGCGGCATTTTCCTTCCTGGCTAAAGCCAGCCACCCCCTGGGTGGTCGCCTATCACAAGGCCAAAATCATTTGGCTGCTGCAAAGCAAATGAAAATATATAAACAAAAGGCCATGGCCATAATATGGCAGAGCCAGAGCGAACAGTAGTTGCCCGATCGATAAAATTAAAGCATTACCTTAAACTTAAGTGGAGAATAGTTGAACTAACAAATAAATAACGGTAATCAATCACATTTGCTTTCAATTCGGAGACTTGTCAATCATTTTCCTATGTGTTTCCTATTACCAAAGCTCTAGGTGGCTAATACTCTAAAAGTTTAAATTACTTCGAGGATTTGATTGATAATAATACAATACAATACAAAAATGAATACTATATGTATAATAGTACTGTTATAATAATTTTTTTCACACACATACGATGTCTTACTGTTTTACTTACTATTTAATATCGATACTGATGTTTGAAAACAATATAAACACTATTGATACTAATTAACTAGTATTCTAAATATTATTTAGTTTATACCATTTAGTATTCAATCGTTAGCATTTAAATTTATTTTCAAGTAAGATACATTTGTATGGTTAACAAACCACTCATTCCCTTTTCAATACTGAATCGAAGCCTATATATCGATATTGGTATCTGGGATTAGTATGATCACTATTGATATTAATTCAAAAGCCTCTATATGTTCAATACCAATTGAAAGTATACTTCGCCAATATTATTTTCATATTTAATCGATAATATTTGAAAAAATTATAATCGTAATGAAATAGTTACGATAGTTGATTTAATATCCAATTCATAACTTTTAAATGACACTATAAAATTAATATAGGCACAAATCGATGGAAAAAAGCACAAACACTATCGATACAAGTAATATATCTGCTAATGTTCGATACCAGTATTTATACTATATCACTTACTCGATACATTATGCATGTCAATCAGAACTTTTGAAATGTACTATAATTTCTCATCATATCATATAGATTTACTAAACGTTTTATATCGATACTGTTTTATTATACTTTTAATATCGATACTGCAATTTAAATATTCATAAGATACTTGCGATGCTTAAATAACTACTCAAATGTTATTTAAATGCAATAAAAACATGTCAGTTTCCCCTTAAGTTAAATGAGTATTTCACTTTCTTCTTTAAGCAGCTCTTTGCTTGAAATCGAGACTCCACATCAGTTTTATTTAAAACAATCCATCAAGTAGACTTCTTCTTCTTTGCCCAGACGGCTTGTCTTGCTTGCAATTCAATCAAAATTTGCTTGAACATGCAACAGAAAAAAAAAGGAAAAGGAAAAAGGGAAGGCAATTGAATTTATTATGGAGTCGCGCATAAAGCTTTAGACTACCTTTTTAGCGCGACAGCATTTCGTGGACACGCCGCCAACGCGCTGCAGTAACAACTACAACAACAACGATAACGACAACAACAATAGCAGCAGCAACACGCCCCAATTGTGTTTTTGGCATTGTCTAACGCATTGATGCTGTCGAGATCTCAGCAGACGGCTATGGCGATGACGATGACGCTGGCAACGGCGGCGACACTTGTCTCGTGTCACTTCACAACCTGCAACGACATATTTTAATGTGCCAACTAACCACTTGGCCCCAACCACCCTGCTAGTTGGCCATGCACTCAAAAAAAAAAAAAAAAAAAAAAAAAAAAAAAAAAAAAAAAAAAAAAAACGTAATGAGAGTGCAATTCTTTTACAAATTTCTTGTTCAGAACTCTTTATGGTATTTCTAGTCATCCTTATTGCACAACTCAGGACTGCAATTATATCTACAACAAATAGGTTTATCGAATTTGCCGGCTAAAATAGATCGAATTTCAATTAGGAAAGAAATAAAGATAACTAGTATCACTGACCTTTGGGTATATGCAGCGATATAGCCACATTGGCCAGCACAACAAATACAAACAATGAAAGCCAATTCATTTTTACTCGTTTACTGCACTGTACTTGATTTTAAGTGAAGAAGTGTGTTATCGAGTATGGCATTTCTAGTTCTTATGATGACGATTGATGATGATGTGGAATTGAATTTCCCTAATTTCATGGTTACTCAAACCATATACCGTGACTTTTCGAATCGAATTTTCATATTTTTAAATGTTTTTACATGTTTTATTTCTCAAACATTACCTCTTCCATTTATTTGTATGATAAACATATAAGCAAGTAGATTTCTTGCTAAATTTCTTTGAAGAAAGTAATCGTTTGCAGATTTTTATGGGATTTAACATAATTCTTGTGATTTCCTTAGACTTTTGAAATTTTGGTTATTATATTTTTGGATTACTCCACTACTCTTGATGTGCCATTATTGTCAATAAGATTCCACTGCCAAGTACTAAGTAGTTTTCATCATCTATATCTACTGTCGGCCAACCTAGAGCATTACTCGATACTGCCACAATGGCTAGCATAAGACATATAGTTTGTATAACTCGCACACCTTTTTACTTTTTGAGTACTGTCTATAATAAAAGCAAATCCAACGCATTTACTGCATTGCACTTCTCGTTTAGCATCAATAAATATGTTATGTATGTTACATAAGACTAATTCTTTAATAGGCGAACCCAATGTAACATTCCTTTTATTTGCCAAATTATAGAATTTCGTGGCTTTTTAAACGATACTTCTTTTGACTTTTCTCTGTTAGCTTTTCTCTCTTGAATATTACGTATACTTACTATTTAGTTCCAAAAGTCTAAATATCATCCAAAAATCAATTCAATAAAGAATGTACTGGTTTTCAGAAAATATTTATACATATGTTTTGTACAATTTATTTAATTCCCTTCTTGAGATTATGCGTTCGTCTTCCTATTCCTTTCTTTTGATGTCCATTCTTGTGCTTGTCGTTCTTAACACTTATCGTCCTGCGCCCTTTCTTCTTTGGATTATCTTTCTTGTGATTACTCTTCTGATTTCCTTTGCCTTTGGAATGAAGACATGTTGACATTGGACATTTCCATTTACAACACTTGGGTTCCTTTTGCACATTCGCAACTAAGTTCGAATTGTTAATAAAATGAAGCTAAAAATTATCCAATTATGGGCTAATTACCTGCAGCAGTACGATGTCCAACAGATCCGCTGACAGTATATATGCCCAGCAGGGCCACAATTAACAACACCATCCAAGAAAGAAGGTTCATTTTAAACTCTATGAGCTACTAGCACTTCATGACTTATATTATTTAAGATTTTACACGGATCATGCTTCTATTATTAGGTCTGGCGTAAGAAATTGTTTGCCAATAATAGCATCCATTAAATTAACTTTAACGTCCACCATATTGGAATTATAATGCCCATGTCAAGCGTTCCCGGTATTTATTTACATAGATAATACATTTTCCGTTATCTATTACATCAGGATACCTTTTAAAACGTATGTCTTAGTGGTATTTTATACTGTCGAATTCGGTTGAAGATACCAAAATCCATATTTGGTAATATTTTTAATACATTTTGCATTCGGTACTTTTGGAATACCTATTTACTTAAACTGTTATCGTATAGAAATTTGATACTCTTCGATTTCCTATAGTTTACTTTATTGAACTTTGATTCCTAGGGGAGAAATTTGATGCCTTCGGATTTTTTTAGTCGATGCTTTTTTGATCTATTTTACAAAACTTTTGGGTTTTGCAGTCGATGCTTTTTCGATATATTTTACAGAACTTTTTTTTTTATTAAAGTTAGATGAGTTAGATGAATATATCTGCGATTCCCTATTCTACTTACTAAACCTTAGAAGATGTTTTGAAGATGACTATATAACGTAGTCTTAATATCGATGCTTTCGATAATCTTTTGGCAATTATATTATTGAACTGTGATGCCAAAGTGAAGCGTGCCTTCAATGCCTTTTACGAATTTTAGTTTTAATCACTTGTTTTTTTATCGATGCCATTCCGATACTTTATCGATTAGATAAGAAAATATATTCGATATTTTTGTTAGAAACCATTTATAAGAGATCTATTCGATGCTATGTGCAACTTACTTGCCTTTGCGATGCCTTCTGGCTTTGATTATTTCGGTACTCTGCCAACTATCGATACTCTTGGGGCAATCTGAATATAAAACGTGCAAGCGAGCATCATTTCAGAAAACTCTTTGCCATTTCCCAAGTGTAGAATGGATGCCAACAACATCACTCGCCCCACCTCCACCGACACTCCACATTCCGCGTCTGATCCGCTTGTCGTTTGTGTTAATGTCTCTTGGCAAACTTTCGCTACAGCGGCGTGCTCGACAACGTTGCCGCCATCGTCAATGTTCGTTATCTATCGCTGCAAACGACAGGCAGCATTGATTTAATGACGTTGACGGCAATTTCCCTTTGCTCCTCGTCCCTTCCCTGCATGCATTTTCTAGATGGTTCGCTGCAGCTCCTTCTCCCCCTTGTCGCCGTCTTCGAATGCTTTATTTATTGATTTAACTTTGCAATATCTAGCCATATTCTTGTTGCTACTTCAATGTATTATGTCCTTTTTTATTGTATTTGAAGCGCTTCACTTTTTTCTCGTATGAATTTCCTTTTTATTTGTGCATAGCTTGCAAAATTTATGCGCCATCAGCAGCTCTCCCAATCCCTATCCCAGCCTTGGCCTTTGTCTAAGTATCTTTTAAATAAATAACCAAAAGTGAAGAAAAAATGCGAAAAATAAGTTCAGCAGCAAATTCAGGAGCGGTGCATTGAACTTGACTCTTGGCTGCCTTCTATATACTATATATTATTTTATTTTTCCTTCATTTTATTGCTTTTTATTGGTTTCTGATTTGTATTGCACCTTTTTTTCCCCATTCATTCTTCTTGTTGTCGTTGTTGTTGTTTTTGTTGCTGTGATGTGCTTCATTACAAATAAGGCGCTTAGTCTGAAATGTAATGCCAGTTAGCCCTGTGATCCTTGACTGCAAAATTAATTATCGAACAGTCAACGATTGGCAAATGCATTCCAGGCTGCCACGCCCCCACCTCCCACCTTCTGACAGACAGGCGGGCACGCCTCTTGCTTGTTTACTTGTTCCTCGTCTCTTGGTTTTGTTGTCTGCTACCTCTGCCCTTTGAAGTTTTGCTCTTCTAGCAAGTTTTATTTTATTTGCTTTGCTTTGCTTTGCTTGGCAGACACACTCACGTGCGAGTATGTATGTGTGTGTGTGTGTGGTCTCTGTCTGTGTGCAGCACCGTGTGTAATGAAATTATTTCAATGATAACGCAGCTTAACATACACACGCACAGATGTAGACACTCTAGCAGATATATTTTACAGAGCTCGTGTATCTGCCCATCAGTCAATGTGCTTGGCCAAAAGTTCAAAATTCGTCCTTCGTTTCAGGTTTCTGTCCAACTTTATGAGCCAAGCCCTGTTGCTGCCCCTCCTCCTCCTCTTCTTCTTCTACTTGTCGTTACTGTTGTTGTTGTTGTTGGCTGCAATTTAATTACGCTGCGGCTTCAAACACAACATGCTGGCTCGACCAAAAGTACACACACAAGCACGCACACACACTCACACACACACACACATGAGCAAGCCAGTATCACGTTGCAGGAATATTTGCCCAAAAAGCCAACAACGATGCATAATATCAGGCAGCCTTCTTAATGTCTTTTTAATTTGGAGTCCACAGACAGCGCCAAACACTTCTTGTTGGACTGAAAATTTTGCCAAATTCCAGCTTTAAAGATGCTTAGCTATTGCATCGGAAAAATTGAATTCAAACAAAAATAGGGAAACAGAAATAATTAAAGATACAAGATTAAATAGAAGAAGTGTAAACAGAAATTATTCAAAAATTTAATATTTTGGTAAATCACTGAAAAATGTTTCCACACAGAGTAACTGAAAACGAAAGGAAAAAAATTGCATTCAACTTTGAAAATCAATTAAGAATGGAGTGCTAGAGTCAAGTCAACTTTTACATACAGTTGGTCTAAAAACGAACACTAATTACATTCATATTTTATTTATTATTTGTGTCTGAGAAAACTGAAACCTTTTTCTCGACAATTCGTATATTAAAGATTGAAGTTAATAATTAAATGTACCATTCATCAGAAACACAAAAACCCAAACTTCTGTCTTCTCTAGAAAGGATCAACCTAAAAGAACCTGTCTACCAAGCTTTGTTAGTTCTAAGTACCTCTTTTACTTTCTTCCGAGATCCTTGTCTAAAAGGCGCTCTAAAACAATACAGAAGACAACTAAAAATTGCAATTGTTGTTAGGCAAATAACATAATTTTATTTAAATAAATTAAAACGCACATCATTTGTTTCGAAAGAATTCTTCATCGTAATTCAATCACTTATTGCAGTTGGCATTAGAGCAACCAAATTTGCAACAAAACGGTACAATTTTTGCAGCTGAAAATAAAAATATTTAGTAATTATCAAAGAAGAGTACAAAATATTGTAAATCATTTAACTTACTTGGACCGGGTTGAAAATCGTAGCCTTTCGGAAGTACAGCTATAATGGCTAGAAACAGTAATACTAGGTTCATGTTAACTAACTTACTAACTAATTTGGTTGATGACACTTTTTATAGAGGTTTTTGTATGGCGATTTGTTACACATAATTCAAAATGAACACAACGTACCATTCACGCGAGTCCGACAGTAAAATACACTACGTTATATATTATCTGCGCGGCTATGTGCGCTAATAGTAGAAGCAAGAATTAGAACAAGAGCGGTCGTGATTAATAACTTAAAAGTAATCTGGTACTTGCAACGCTAGGATAAGTTAATAAAATAAATAAAAAATTAATAGTTTTAGGAATTGACCGATTTCGATTAAATTTAAAATAAAAATAAAGTGTATGCAGCTGTAGAATTGTGGACTGTGTTGATGAAATTCTATAGCGGGGGACGAGGGAGAAAAATTAAAAATATAAAATAAACTCGTCATGCCTAGGGATTAGAAGAGTCTAGACACCCAGTTTGGTAAATGTAGCCTCAACCCTATTTCGAAATTCAGGCGTTCATACAGACAAACACGTCTAAATTGATTTGTCTCGACATGCTTACTTAGAAAAGAGGGAAACATCTTCCTTCGGCCTACTATATTTATTCCATAAACCAAATAAACCCTTTTATCAATCGGATACAAGGTATAACGAGTCTAGTGGACTCAACACTCAAGCCCTCCAGGTGTACCGAAACAAAGAGAATGCAATAAATGTTCATCATTTTAATCAAATAAATTCTAAAATCTTATGTATTTTTAACACATCCTCATCCTATCGTGGTGGAATATTGCAGTTTGGATGAAAACACCCAATTCTACAACAAGCCGGTCGAAATCTTTGAGCTTCAAATTTAAAATATATGTAATATAATGTAGAATTGATGAAAAGAAGAATTCAACTTACATAGGTCAGATTGAAAATCGTAGCGCTTTGGAAATAAAGATATGAGAGCGAGAAACAGTAATGCCAGTCTTGATAGCGTTCTCATTTTTAATCTAACTAACTAGCTTATTATTTTGTCAGATGGCAGCTTTTATGAACGTTATTTAATGGAAATTTGTTACACACAATGCGACATATAATGTCTACCCTATTGGTAAATAAAGTTTGAGTAGCTAAACTAACTAAAAGGGGGTATATAATCGAATTATCTCTGGTAGAAAACTATTTAAAAAACCTGATTAGTACTGCACCGAAAAAGAGCGGAATATTGTGTTGCAATTGCAATTCTTTTTATCAAAATAGTTTGTTTCTTTTTGAAATATTAAAATTAATATGAATTTGTTTTGTTAAACTGTTTTCATTAAGTTCTGCACACATTCTTGCTTGCTCTAAGCCTTTTGACAGACTGATAAATATTTTATTTATTATTTGAATGAACAAAGCAATTTATTCATGAACAATGGTGGCTGCTAAGTATATTCAAAACAGTGTGCTTAAATCTATTAGAGTGCTGCATTAATAATTGTTTTTCAATTTATTGCTTTTTTACAAGTATATGTATTTGTAATTCTGATTATTTTCAATCTCTCTTTGACTTAACATTTAGTTATAATAAAAAATGTATAATACTTTTGAATAGTTTTTTTTTAGAGAGATATGATATATTCTTCTTTTCTTTTTAACTGTCTGGCTTATTTCGTAAAGGAAGTGTCGACAAACCTCTCGTATTCAGCGCTGCCGCCCACGCCCTTGGTTAGAGTTCATTTCGTTTGGCCGTCTGCTTTAAATCATTTTCATTTGCAGTTGCTCGTTGACAGCAGCTGTTGCCTTTTCCCGCTGCTCGCCCCTGCACTGACCTGACTGTCCGTCCGTCCCCCATACCTTTAAAGTTATCCTTGGTCATTGTCCTGTGCGGGCGCGCACTGATTTCAGCTTTTTTGGCTGTTCAACTTTCGCGGTGTCTGTCTATGCGTGTGTATGTGTGTGTGTGTGTGTGTGTTTTGTGCTCTTGCTCGTCCTCGACGAAAACAGCACTTATCGCACCTTGTTTAGTCAGTTAAACTGTCAAATGTTCGTCCCCCCCTTCTTCCTCTTCAGACCCCCTAAATCCAGAGCACTGCTGGCGCTAAGTGAAGTTTTTTAACCTGCCCCCTGATGTAGCGCTTGATTAATTGCACTTTGGAGCGTTTTGTGTGGCACTTGCTGAAGTTTTTATGTACAGTGTGCATAACATTTTAAGTGGCATCGTCCCCCCCACCCCCTCCACCCTCTTCCACACCCTGCCACATACATTCACATCCGAAAAGAAGCAGAGATAGACAGACAGCTGCTAGACGCGCTATTTTGTCGCTAATTATTAATGTAAATGTTTTCACTTTTAATAAGGCGCGAGTGGCGAGTCCTGAATCCTGTCTCGTGTCTGGCAGCGACTCCTTAAACGCGCTTTTATTGCCACAAAACATGCGGCTTACATGCCCCAGTCTCAGTCCCAGTCTCAGTCCAGCCCCAGTCCAGTCAATGCGGGGGCAAGTCAGGAATTTCATGTCAGACTGGGCGGCACTTTTATTCATGACTAGCGTATTTTGATGTCTTAACTTGGCCCAAACAAACACGCAATGTTCGCGTTAAGCACGCCGGGCTTTTATATTTCCAACTAGACAGTGCGGCAGGGTATACTAAGTCTTTCTTCGCTGAAAGAGGTGGTTTGATAATACAAGCATAAAAAAATATCTTTAGATCACAGATTTAATTTCAGACTATTATTTTTTTGTATCAGATCACCAATTATTACCTAATGTAAGCAAAGAGTGTACTAAGTAGCTGCTAAGGGTTTCCATATATCGTTGAATTACTACAAAAATGTGTGTCCAGGAAGACTTGTCCTCTCTTAATCGAAACAGGGACACTGGTCTGGAAAGCGATCTATTGTTTTTTTGTGTGGTTGTTTAGCAAGTTATTGCCGCTGCATAGGGTTGTCTGAAAATTTTTGGATGGCCCTCTTAGCATACATAGCATATAATTTATTTCCACCATCAACTTGTTAGCCACAATTCTTAACACAATCGCTGAATACTATACAATATTTAAAGATCGCTACAAAAGTAACAAACCGACTGCACTTAATAGGAGATTTAACTTTTGATTAATGATTTGATTTGTCTGGCACTATAGTCTGGCAAATACAGCACATAAACCTATCCGATGAGCAAACACTTTCCTTCAAAACTGATTAACTTTCAATTATTTCATAAATAACATCCATCTTATAATTTATACATCATTATTCAGTAGTTTTAATTTCTGTTTCAAAATGTTAGCTAAATTTATCTTTTGTTCTCAATTGTTTTAATTATTTAAGTCTGTCATTTGTCTTTGGTAGAATAGTTCTCTTTGGATAACTTAGTTAGCTATTATTATCTTTTGTTCTCAATTGTTTTAAATATTTGTCAATTGTCTTTGTTAGAACAGATCTCTTTGGATAACTTAATGGTTGACTACCAAAGACGATTATTTTAACACCATCTTCTTTTTTTTGACTTTGATAATTCGTGATATGTTCTTTAAGACTTCGCCACTCTATTTGCTCTTATGCAACTAAATAAAGTGTATTTCATAGTCGCAATATTTTATATGGTTTACCTCTCTTTTATTCACCAAAGATTTGAGCTTTGAAGTATGCAATTACTTAATGCTCAGGTTGTCATATGTGCGGCGCAACTTCAGACGCTAAGACGCTTTTAGCTGCTTATTATAGGTATTTACATATGTATATGGAGGATATATTTATGGATGTATATTATATGCACATAGGTGTCATTATCCTGCGGCTCATATGCGACGCACCCGTGCGTCTTTATTAGCATTTCTAATTAAAGACTGGCAACTTTGGCCAAAGCTACTTATCGTGGCTGATGATGGCAACGACGAAGAAGTTGACGGAGAAGACGTTGCTGGGCATGGCTTTTAGAAATAATGCAAGGAGCGGGGCGCTTTCCTTGCGTGGGTTACGCATACGCCATGGGTGCCGACGACGATGACACCTACAAATGCTTAAAACGTCGACTGCGGCGCATTGTCTTTGTCAGCCACAATCACACACACACACACACAGAGAGAGAAACAAACAACGATTAGTGGCCTCAATGAGCAGCTTGTGGAGCAGAATGAGAGCAGCGTCGCGTATCATATGTTGTGGTTATTGCCTTGCTAGTTGGCTGCCATATACCCTACACTCGTATACCTGGCAGCGACGAAGCGTCGATGTTGAGAGCACGCTTGCTTTTATTGGCTTTTAAAATGACATGACAGAGGCGGCAATGGAAAGAGAGTGCAGTGCCTTTTTGCCACTGGCTGTTGTTACTCTCCTCGCCTTCCCTCCCCCTCCCTCACTCTGCCACTCTCTATCTATCTCATCTGCACCGAGGTCGGTCTGTTTGTCGCTTGGTCTGCCCATCGTTTTGGTTTTTAATGTCGTGTTTATTTTGACATTTTCATTATGTGTCTCGTTGTCTGGCTGCTTCGTTTTTTACGCCCTCCTCTTCTTCCGTCGCTTTTGTTATGTGTTTTTTGGCAGGGTTTGTTTGGCTGCTTTTAAGTTTTTCACGTGTTACATTTATTTTTGTTGTAGTTATAAGTTTAGTTGTTGTTGTTGTTCTTCTTCTTCTACTTGTTGTCATCGCTGTGGGTTTGTGTGCACACTTTTAATTATATTTTCAAGTTTTGGGGAAAATGTATTTGCTTTTTAGTAGCGAGTACAAAGTTCGTTGCCTTTCATCTTTAAATAACATTTTAAATCATTTGTGAAAATTACTAAAATTCATATGCAATTTGTGTTTGTTTTAAGCAGAGTCGTCCCCAATTCACAATGTTCACAAAGTTAAGTTAGTTCCCATGCATTATTCGATATATCGATAACATTTCATGACTAATTAGTAGTATATTTATATTGACATTTGAAGTATTTCTATGTCATTTAGATTTTAATTAATGTTCAGTTACATTACAAGTTAGTTACATGTTGGTTCTCTTAAAAAATGTAATATCACTAATATATGTCAATCATCATATCACTCATATTTTCATAAAATATTTCAAAAGTTTTTCGGACTTTATTTTGAATACCCCATTGATTATTGTAGCTTGTTCGAGACCTCACGCCTTTTTGATTCCACTTCAATACACTTCAACACACTAGCTTATGACGTTTTGACACCACTTCAATAAAATTACTTTCAATTACTTTATCTTTAATGTTTGGAAAACCTTCGATATCACTTGACTACGATGACCCATTGATTGAAGTTACTACTTCGTCCCTTATTGCTTTTTTATATCACTTCAATAAAATTTGTTTGAATTACTTCTTTTTTAATCTTTGAAATAATCTTTTGATATACTCTTTAATTGGTCATACTCTTTTAATACCTTATGTCGTTTTAATACCATTTCTGTCTTTGATATTGTTTTAAAATATTTTGAAATAGCATAATTTCATACTTAATTGATTAAAAATTTTTATTTCAATGCTTTATGGATTTTTAATACCACTACGATACAAATTAATTGAATTACTCTATCGTGATTTATATTATTTTTTTATTTCTTTTCAATAACTTATTTTCAGTAACAATCTTGATAACTTTTACCGCTCCATTCTACAGTTTATTCATTACCTTTGGAATTTTCATATTTCTTGATAATATTGTAACTTAAGCATTACTTGTGAGGGCAGCTGAAATGTTCACTTGCTGGTAACTTTTTGGTAAATTAAAATTGTTTTATTTGCACCTCAGGAATGTGTAAAACTGAACTAAAAGTATCTTAAATGTAAACTAATGAAACCGCCGTTGGTCAAGTTGTTTTGCCAGCTTCTTGAAAATTTTCATTTCATTTGCGAAACTTCTATTTTTGCAATTCGAAGTTGGTCCAATGCCAACTCCATCCTAGCCAATATCCTTTGGTAACTTTCCCCAACTCCTGGCTTGGCTTTTTGCCAGTTGAACAGCAACAGCAAAAACAAAATGAAGGAGAAAAGTTGCCGTTACACGCACAAGTTTTCTCAGTACTCGCGTGTATCCTTTTTTTTGTGCACACTTT